AGACAAGACTTTACACACTTTTTTCTATGAAAGTGTCCCATTTAGCCTTTCATACATTAATCCGGACCGTTATTACATATTTTTAGAATCTGTTACATGTTACATATGACATAGCCGGACACGTTACATTATTTTTTTCTAATAATGATATAGCCAACTCAATATTTTGAATTTTTTGTTGAATTTAAATCGTGAGCATATATTATAGTTTTAATTTTACCTATAGTAGAAAAAATAATAACTACACCTCCGACCTTCACTGGTAAATACTCATTAGTTACTCCAGGTTTCAGTTCGTAAGTTTTGGAGGGGATCATGGCCAATTACAGTACCCTTTTCGACAATTTTTTTTTATTTTAAAGAAAGGCTCATGGATTGTAAGAATTTTAACCTCTAGGAGGCCACGGACTATAATAAACCCAAAAGGGTTGAATATTATATTGCTTAAAGAGCAAGAAAATAAACGTTATTTATGAGTCGAATACTATACTTTATATATGACTATAACATGCGGCTACCGATTTATAGTTTATAAATTTAAAATAATAGCTATTTTATAGATAATCATTTCATGTTTGACATTTCATGGAGCATATGATTTTTTTTAATAATTAGAGAATTATTACCTTGTCTTATCAGATACAAAAATGATAAGGAAATGTAATCGTAACGATATTTGAGAAAGTGTAGTTTTGTATTATATTAAGAGAATATATTTTTTTTAATATATAATCTCTTCACTATTTTATAGACTGAAAAACTCCGAGGTTCGATGAAGACAGATTGTACATCTACAGTTTCAAAATGAATAAAAAACTGATATAATTGCTAATAAGACATAAGAAGCTAAATCAAACAAGTAAATTGTTGTTATGATGTTTCTGAATTACAAATTAGGATTTCATCGATGGTTATCGGCTAAAAAAGTTGATAGAAGTAATAGCAAGATTTATTATTCTTAAAGCGCCTAAAGAAACACTTATTGATTTGAAAATTGAGTTATATGACACATTAGAATATGTAACGTGTTTTTTTTATGAAACAAGAAATTTGTTCTATCAACGTTACTATCAAATATATAATTTCTCGAGTTCATATTTGATTGAAAAATTAATAAGAAAAATAAGTAGGGTCAGTTGTTCAACAGAGAACCACCCTATTTTTGATCATTGTTGTACCTAGCCTTCATATTATTTCTGAAATTGAAATAAAAAGTTATTGACAGTTTATGAAAAATATTTACAACTCAATGATATTGATAGAAATAATATATTTTAACTGAATATAATGGTTACTTTACGTTTCGCCTGCAGCGTTTAGTTCCACTGTTTTTAATATTGATGACGACACAAACGATAACGATGATAACGGTGACGATGATGATATTTATTTTTTTATAACAGAATCATAATATTGTTATAAATGATAAAAGTTATTTAGAAAAATAAAACGAATTTTTTCGTTTTTATGAAAATCTCAATTTCAAAATTTATGATTACATAGAAAATTGTATGCAAATTGCTAAATCGTGCATACGTTAAATAATTGTGCTAGACGCGATTGTATTCAAAGTAGTTTTTCGTGGTCTATTTATCAACAAAAATAATGCTGTGAAAAGGCATACGTTTAATAATTGTACTTCAATACCTCTTCTTTCTTTACATGTTCAATTAACAATTTTGGGACGTACTACGAGAAGGAGGCGTATGCAGATTATTTTCCACGATAGGTATATTTTTTTCAAATTTTAACAAAGAAAAAAACGATTTGCATGCATTTACTAATCGTTAGGAATGATTTATTTTTAATACAAATTTAAATTTGCTTGGTGACGCCGCTGCATGCAAACACTCTTAGATAATTGGCTAGAACATGTTAAAACCTATAATAATCGATGCATACATGAAAAAATCTGTCAGTATCGGCTACTCTATTAACTATTAGATATTCCACACAAAATGGCTACCAATGGATTTTGACAGATTATGATATGGAAACAGTATGGCAACACAGTAATCCTAGTGATTTGACAGGGTCAATGAAATAGATAGTTATGTAGATTGATCATCCATACTTTTCAAAATAAACAAAAGCTTACGCCTTAAAGTAAAAATGTAGGTAATTATTTTTTTACTATACTCAAAAGGTGAAAATAATGATTAATGAACACTTGCGAGGCAATATGGCCACTCGCAAAACGACCGCTTTGAGTAATCTATAAAACTATACATGTATCATTGACCCTGTCAATGACAACAGGTCCACAGAATTGCCATATCTACACTATCAGTTCCCTCTTGTCAGCACTTTGACAGGACGTTGAAATACCTAATCTTCGAGCATATATCAATGACATATATAGATTAATAGACTGCTCATCCATATATAAACAAGACGACGAAAAGCGGGTCATATTGCTTGGCTTTCCGAGTGCTCACCAGGCAGAATCGGTCTGGCCCAAATGAGTTTAAAACTCATATTTCAACAAAGTTGGAATTGAAATTAAAAAAAAAATATCTGTATGTTTATTTCAAGACAGGAGCTTGCGTTAGGTATTTTAAAAAAGGATTTTGAGTCGTAACGTCTAGTTTCCCAATTTTCAAAACATTTTAAGAGATATAACCAATTTTGACATAGATATAAACAATTTTACACTCATGTGTATATAAACTAACTTTAGACCACGACTACTGTATAGTGGCACTATTCGGACACTTATTATTCTTTTAAAATTTATTTCGCAATATAAAAGCAGATATTATGCAAAAATTGAATGAACTTTTTAAAGATTTTACTAAAAGTTAGTAGCTTTTTCACATTCTAAAGTTTGTTCCCTTTAGACAATAAAGAATTATTTTGGCGGTGAATGTGAATGATTTGATGAATAATAATAAAATTCCACCAGTGGAAATCTGATCAACATCATAGTAAAATGGACTAGGTACAAAGTGCAATCTTAGATGACGTCAAGATCCGTGTACCTTAGCATCGGTAAGGGGGAAAGAAAGATTCTGACTTACATTCACAAAAAGAACGTATAACTAAGCTTAGTCGATGTAAGTTAGCTCAGATTAGTAGTAAAAAGAAAGCGAATATTAATAAAAAGAAACGTAATCCAGCTAAATCAAGAATTTTGGCTACTGTCCTTAATAAAATGATATTGTGCCAGTACTAGTAGAATTTTAAGTGTTGAGTTTTCTTCTTCAGGCAATGGATGTAAGTATGCATAATTTAAAATGTTTGGTTAATTATTATTATGTTTAATGTGTTTTTGCAGTTAATGAACATATATCTACTACTGAAGCAGATAATGAAGATTTGTGTGCTGCTGAAGAGCTTTGCTTGATTTACAAAACTTTGTTTAAAAGCAGAAAATTGGGATCGATTGTTCAACACAAGTGAAGAGTGGTGATTTAGTTGATCCGTTTTCAAACAGAATTGTTAGTGCTAAAGAACTATCTACTTTAATAGGATTGCAATCCTTCCAGTTATTAGCCACCATTGTGGAATTAGTGGCAGAGTTGTTTCTAAAGAATAGGAAAAAGGAGATCAGTTATGTCTGTAAAGGATCAAGTTATATTTACTTTTATGAAGTTGAAAACTGATATGCAAGATATAATGTCATATCCATTTTATTTGAAGTGAATGAAACTTTTTATCGTTAAATTTTTTAACAGTTTTTAATAAAACTGGTAGAAGTTCTTAGTATGGTATAATTCGGCCTTCAAAACAAGAAATATTAAATAATGTGCCTCTATGTAAGTAAGAGTACTACTTGTTGTACCGAAATCCTAATACAGCAAGCCAAATGTCTTTGTTGTAGGCTAAAAAATTACTCTGACTACAAAAAGAGGCATACTATTAAAATATTGACTGGAGTGTCACCTACTGGTCTCATTACTTACAAAAGTGAAGCATATGGTGGTAAACTTCAGAAATATACATTTTTTAACAAAGTTCAGTACTTGAAGTGTGTGAATCATTTCTCGATAGTAAAATGTTTAACAAAGGTTTTCTTATTGGAAACATAACAGAAGCTGAAGGTATAAAAATTATACAGCCTCCTTTCCTCAATAAAAAAAAATCAGTTCAGCCATCAAGATGCTTGACTTAATGCCAAAATTGCCAGAGCTAGAATTCTCATAGAAAGAACCTATCAAAGAATAAAAGTGTTTGTCTCTCTGTATTGGTACTTATGTCCGTTTTTCTTCTATTTATATTGAGTTTTTATTATACGATACTTCTCTGTATCTAACTAACTTTTAAAATGTACTTGTAAAGCCCAGATAGCTCTAACTCGGGCCTTTGAATATAATAATATTTATGTAATTGTATTTACAATAAATACTTTATTATTAATATTATTATTATAATTAATTATAATTCGTAAAATTATTATAAACGTATTTACCTTGTACCTACTTGTATTGATACTTGCGTGAAAAATGAAATGTTACTTTTTATATTTTTGTAGCTGGTCTTACAAACCTTTATAGAGCAGTTCACCATTTAAATTTAAAAATAAAACAAGTTTGTATACTCAAATAATTAAAAAACTTAAAACAGAACATAAGTATAATTAAAACTAAATAAAATAAACAATTCAACAAAATGTCCGACTGAGTAATGACAATGAGAACAAAATCTCAACTAGACTAAACTTTCTTTAGAACCGGTCCTGTGAAAGGTTTGTTTACAAGTGAGCACTCAAAATTGAGACAAAACAGAAACATTGCATGCACTAGACAAAGAGAAAACATCTCCCAGTTCGACCCGCTTTTCATCGTTTTATTTACGTATGGATAAGCAGTCTATTTAAACTATATATGTCATTGGCATATATATGCTCGAAGTACCTAATACGCTATGACATTCAGTTGATAAATTGACACAGACCTAGGATAAATGATTGGGGCTTGATACTGTCTTTTATGACACGTACCCAATCGATTTCATCATCAAATAGCTTAAAATATACAGATAGGCAATAAGTGTCTTACTTGTAAAAAAGCTCGGCCTTCCTCTTTTAACAGTCTAAATGGGACGTCTGAATCTAGAGGATTTCGTAAATCCAACCATCCATCTTCAGTCATATATTTGGCTCCTGATACGGCACATACTGGGGCGTGTATACCTATAAAATAAATACAAATTATAATTATGCTTCACATCCTTGTTAGTGGAAATAAAGATAACCATGTAGTATACCTGTGTTACGCCGCTAACCCACATATTCAGATCGTCAAAATTTATCCTATTCTCTATCGCTGCCTACCTAAATTACTCATTACCAATTTATGTGTCGCGTGATTCACATTGTTCAGACCGACTACATTCCAGCGATTATAAAAACATGGGTAAAAACTATCGAAAATGCAAATCGTCTCAGAAATACGAAAAATTCAAAAATAAATGAAGAAATTGGGAGTACAGCTAGGAAAATAATGTTTTTATTTAACTGATTTTTAGCTTGCAGAAGATACTACTTTCATAAAATCCGTCTGCAAAACGAAAAATGCTACTTAATGTGCAAATTTCGCAAAACCTTGAGGGGGGGGGGCAGATACTACTTTATGTGTAAATTCTGCATTATAAACAAAGACATTTACAGAGGAGGCTACTTTATGTGTTAACTCTGATCTTATACTAGTACAGGTTTGAGAATGTTTTTCTTTATAATTTAATTGATTTTTAGCTTGCGGAAGATACTTTATATAAATTTCCGAATTTAGACGACACAAATATACAGAAGATACATCATTTATATAAGCCGACTGCAGAGCGAAAAATGCTACTTTATGTGGAAATTTCGCAAAACTTTAGTGGCGGAAGATACTACTGTATTTGTAAATTCTGAAAATAACAAATACATGTACAGAGGAGGCTACTTTATGTGTTAACTCTAATATAATACTTATAATATGCAAGCTCGGCTAACTGCAACGCGAAAATGCTACTTAATGTGTCACTTTGGTCACGGAAGATACTATTTCATGTGTAAATTCTTCATCATATACAAATAAATGTACAAAAGAGACCTCTTTATCTGCTACGCAAAGTTAATGGATTATATTACTGCATGTGTAAATTATGCACCTTTACAAAAAAAAATGCCACTAGAATTAGCCCTTGATTAAATATTGTTATTAGATGATCTAGAATCAAAATCTGAGAGGTGCATACATCAAACTCGTCATTTTTACCAGAAAATAGACGTTAGAATAGCAATGATCAAATTCAGTACCAGGATATTCTGGGAGCACCTCTCTCGGAAAACCAATCAACGAAGAAATATTGGGAAAAATATTTGCAAAAAGGGTTGAAGAGGGGCAAAATATCAAATTTTTTTTGAGAAATGCAAATTTGGTAAACTTACCGTCACGTGGGTCCCTACCTTAAACCCCGAACTAAAAAGTTTAGTGACTCACGTCATCAAATAAAACCGACAGCTATTTATGCTTCAAGACCAACTTGAAAGATGATGGGAAGATTAGCTGAACCTCTGCATACTAGGCTTGGAGGGGATAGAAATAGACGCAACAAAATAAAAACAAAAATATTACCGGATATCGATGATTTTTTTTCTTTGGAAATAATCTTGTAGAGATATGGAAGTTAAACAAAGCATTTGAAAAAACTGGCATCTATTTAATTTAAAGGCACAAACTAAAGCAAACAATAATTTCAATAAGTCTTTAAACTTCAAGCGCCAACTTCTAAATTCCGGTAGCAGAAAATCAGTCCAGAGAAAGAGCAGGAGAAATACAAAACCCATAGGACGAACCAACAAGGATTCAGAAAAAACAGGGAGGGGAGAATGAATTATTAGGGAAGGAGATAAAGGTAAAAGAGACTGCTGGTAGACTGAAGAAATTTGTAAAATATGTGGGCTAACTTAACTAATGATAAGAAGGTCCAAAGTTATGTTAAATGTTTACATTAATATTTAAAACATTGTCAAAACAAAAGAGCTTTCGCCAAAGGATGTTTTTACTTGGAGAAAAAACTAACCTACAAACTTCAATTTAAAAAATACTTGTACTAAAGAACGCAATAGGTTGCTAAAGAAAATTAGTTCCTGTCCTCATAGTTTTAAGGACCCAAATAATGGTTCATCTAGATTCGTCCTTAACAAATATACAGTGAGCATCATAAGTCTTACCCCCCCTAACTAACTCGTTACTGGGGTCTTGTTAGGAAAATCGCCGAGACAGGTCGATTTTTGATTTCTACAGTGTACATTTTTGCATGATTAGTTTACCCTTAATTTTATCCCTTACTGGAGGGTAGCAACCCTTTCGAAAAATTTGAATGGCATGGGGTGGTGAGTGATAGCTCATTTGAAAGGGGGTTTTATTCTCTATTCAACCGTGCAAAAAATTTTGAAATTTGCTTCATTACGTGTTGATTTATTAAAGTTTAAAAATAACAAAACCTCACAAAATAGGAAAGCAACTAGACTAACAGTGACCTTCTAATGGCAAAAAGTCTTACTTCACGTCTGAACCAATACCAAAATCATGCAGGGCCGAATTTTAATTCTAAGGATGAGTGCGCTACGTTAATTTCCGTTATTCTTAAACAACAATTAGTCGAGAATTAATGAAGCAAATTTCAAATTTTTTTACACGGTTGAATAGAGAATAAAATCCTCTTTCAAATGAGCTATCACTCACCACCCCATGCCATTTAAATTTTTCGAAAGGGTTGCTCCCCTCCAGTAAGGGATGAAATTAAGGGTAATTTATTTATACAAAAATGTACATTGTAGAAATCAAAAATCGACGTGTCTCAGCGATTTTTCTAACAAGACTCCAGTAACGAGTTAGATAGGGGGGGTAAGACTTATGGTGCTCACTGTATAGATCCTCGCATTTTAAACTGGAAGATCTCAGGTATGCCCAGAATATTTTGTTAAAGAAGAACTTTATATCAAAAATAAAGGATGCCTATTATATCATCCCAATACACAAAAAAATCAGAAAATTTAGAAAAAAAACTTGAGTTTGAGTTTGAGTGTTTTGCATTTGGTCTGACTTGCTCCATATGTTTTTGCAAACACTTTAAAACCAGTAGTGTATCATCTAAAGCTTTTCCGAATCACCTTGATAATATCTTTATGATTTCCTAATTATATGCAAATCTAGTGATGAATGTCTCAAACATTATAATACCACGGTTAATTCTTCCCAATCTCTAGGATACATCATAAAAAAAAATGTTTTTATCTAAAGTGTGCGAATATTTGCACAACATAAAAACAACAATACCGTGTATATGTTCAGATATCTACAAAAAAATGTCATTTTATTGGTCTTAACCAAGTGTATAAAACAATAACAATTTGTCCTAATTGCTAACAACTGTGTTGTTTTCAAGGTGTAATTAAAACACAGTGGGTTGCATAAAAGAAGATACAATTTTAAGTCCAGAATAATACATTTTATCCATCCATGGATATTTATTATCCAGAAATATTGTTTGTTATCTAAGGGTCGGTCTTTTACCTTTAGATAAAGTGTCAAGTATTCGTTATCTACCAGATAACTTAAAAAGTCATATTTTCACTTTTAGATAAAACTAACCGGCAGATAAATTGGTAATCCGAAAGATAACCTGTCTTACCTCTGAACTTCCTGATAAAGTACTTAACTGATGAATAAGTGTGTAGGTGTACGACATAATAATACGAATCAACATAATATTTTATTTGCTTTTATGGACGTTGCTACGGAAGCGTAGAAGGGCCACATTTTTTAATTTTTTTTATTTCTAAAATTCCGTGTTCGTACACGGAATTCCTTGTACAAACACGGAATTTCCGTGTTCAAACACGGAAATCCAAAATTCCGTGTTCAAACAAAGAATTCCGTATTCAAACACGGAATTTCGTGTTCGAATGCGGAATTTTAGATTTCCGTGTTCGAATAAGGCATTTCGTGTTTGAACACGGAAATTCCGTGTTCGAACAAGGAATTCCGTGTTTGAACACGGAAATTCCGTGTTCGAACACAGAATTTTATATTCGAGCTACAGTATTTATTGGTATATGCACGGCAGCGTAGAAGCGTAGATGCGCATATTTTGGTATAAGTATATTTTTCATGAGGTGTCATCATTTTTCGAAATATGACGTCATCACGAGTTTTTTAAGTAGCACCACCATTTTTTGATAATACCATTTAATAGAAACACAAGCAACAAAATTCTTAACCAGTCCTCCATTTCTTTACTTTTTTCGAGAAATAACTAATAATTGGATTTAGAAAACACCACCTCACTTTACCCCTCTCTTATCTAGGCTAGAGAGGCAATGAGGGTAAATTTAAAACGCTATACAAGGTGTTATTTTGAATCGATTTAAATGAAATTTGGGCATCAGGGACTAGAACCTAAGACATAAGACTGACCTGGAAATAAAATTAAAGGAAAAATATTATTATGCAGGGAACAAAGAGGGCAAGACTTTTGATACTACTTCCGTCCCGTTTTTAAAAAATCGGCTAAGGTAAAAATCTGAGGATATTCAAAGAATCTGTATTTACCCATCCCTCCCAAGGTTCCTCAAGTCACCCAAGAGTAAATACGTTATTTAAATTTATAGTTCGAAAATAAAATTCCGTGTTCGAACGAGGAATTCCGTGTTCGAACACGGAATTTTAGATTTCCATGTTTAAACAAGGAATTCCGTGTTTGAACACGGAATTAGAGATTTTCGTGTTCTAACAAGGAATTCCGTGTTTGAACAAGGAATTCCGTATTCGAATACGGAATTCTGTGTTCGAATACGGAATTTCGTACACGAACAAGGAATTCCGTGTTTGAACAGGGAATTCCGTGTTCGAATATGGAATTCTTTGTTTGAACACGGAAATTCCGTGTTTGAACACGGAATTTGAGATTTTCGTGTTCTAACAAGGAATTCCGTGTTTGAACAAGGAATTCCGTATTCGAATACGGAATTCTGTGTTCGAATACGGCATTTCGTGCACGAACAAGGAATTCCGTGTTCAAACACGGAATTTTAAAAATAAAAAAAAATTAAAGTGTGGCCTTTCTACGCTGCCGTACGTTGCCGTTGTTGAAGATGTTGTTTTTTTTTTTGTAAATAGTGGTTTTACTTAT